TTTTTGAAAAGAATCAGAAATTGAAGAATATATTACCAAGCAAAATATATATTTAACATTTTCTTTCTGTCTAAAGAATAAAATATTTGTAAGAATCAGCTTGCTTTTGCTTACGAACTGTATATTATTTATAGCTATTTAAAGCTACTGAAAGAAAATAGAAAAAGAATTTAAAACTGTTTACATTCACTTATCCTTTTTTTTAATTTTGACTTATTCCTACCACTAGTACCGCGCTTGGACTCTTTCCTATTCTGAAGGAGACAGAAACCACTTTGTATAACAAGAAGTGGCTGAAACATCTATCTTGTGGTCTTGGGAGAGTGGAGAAAGAGGAGGGGCAGTAGAAAGGGCAGAAGAAAGAGCTCCATTTAAACAATCTTTTAAAAGGTTCTTAGAAATATTTAACTCTTGTAAACTTTGCCTCACGTATTTGCACTTATCCCAAAAAAGGAAAAAAAAAAAAAGAAGAAGAAGAAGAAGAAGAAGAAGAAGAAAGGAGATGCAATAGTGGGCTATAAAAGTGGAAAGAAGAAAGACAACAGAGATAAATCCAGGAAAGGAACAACGCCAGAGCAGACACCAGAGGAGGAAGCAGGGTCATAAATGTCAGGACCCGTGGCGCTGTGAAGCACTTGACCTTCAATTCGTCTGCTGAGGGACCACGTAAAATAAATAACATCCTACTTTTCTTATTTTAATTCCAGTTGGCCCAAGAGCGTGAACTTCGGGAACTGGGTCATCCGTTTGCCTACTGTTGATGAGAAATTTTGAACTGAGTAACTTCATCATGTAGAAGTCTGATTATTTATCAAAGAAATCGGAGAACATTGGGTCCTTAGTAGATCTTTATGTACTGTGGGCATTATTTGTAGGACCCTCAAAACTGCTTTTGCACATGATCTACTATAAGAAATATATCTGACATCACAACACATATATGTATACATGTGTAAATTTACAGCACACATATATGCATATGCAAACCTAAATTACCGAAATAAGAATTTCATGAGCAAATACTTGTTCCTACTCACTGTGATGCGTTCTTACATCTTCCATTTCACTCTATGTCAACTTTCTCAAAAATTATGGTTTATAATCTATTCTAAAGAATTGAGTCTTGGGAACCAGCAGTTAGCGTAATGGCTATGTCGCTGGACTCCCACGGAGTCGACCGCGGTTCGCATCCCGGACCCGGTAGCTTAAAACTATGCCGGGCGCGTGTGCCTGCGTGCCCAAGATCCCGAGAGGAGAATGGAGGAGAAGGGATTGCGGCGTGACCATCCCCCCTGGGGGGTGATTTCTCGCTTTCTGTCTCTATGTCTCTATCTGTCGGGCGAGCGCACACTCCCTGTAGCGAAAACCTCTCCAAAAAAAAAAAAAAAAGAATTGAGTCTCATAATATGAAATACAGATATAAACAAATGAGGGTACTGACTGGACTGAAAAATAATGTAAAAATCAAGTGCAGTTTATTTGAAGCAAACAGCTTTTGTGGAATTCACAGCATACCGCATTTGTTATTTATTTGCCATAATGTAAGGATTCAGATTTGTTTGGAATCAGGTATTTTTGTAGATAGTATATAGTTCATACTGGCAAAGGCAATTGGGCTGCATTACTTTTTAAAATATTAGACATTTTGCAAGAAGAATAATGATTTCCTTCAAGACACCTGTGTGTGAAGTGGGGGACTTCAAGAAAAAAATCTTCTAAATGGAGAATTGCAAGACGGAATGACAACAATCGGGAGATAAAGGGCTCTGAAAAATTGCAAAACACTCAACTTGACATTGTACCCTTCGGATTGAATTTACTTTTCCACAGAATGGTAAACCTTTCTAAGAATTTCACAGTTAAGAGAGCTTAAACTTTCTCTGTCTAATGCCTCTCTCAAAAGAAGTGCAAGTTTTCTCTCTGTGTTATTCCTTCATTTGTTAAAAATATTAATTCGACATCGACAGTATATCCAGGAATCTAGAGAAAACTTTTTAAAAAATTGTACTCAGGAGGCATACAGTTTGTTCAAGTAGATAAAAGATGAACAAAAATCCATAACACAAGGTGAACAGTCGCCCCAACCACCAGTGAGCTCTCTCTCTTTACCACCTTTTGTCATAGAGAGCTTGGGTTTTCTAATGGCTGGTGGTTATTTTTCTATTGGACAGTTCTGGCTGTTAGGACATTCTTTATATTGAATTCTTCTCACAGTAACATCCGTCACCAGTCCTATTTCTGTCCTTGGTAGTCACACAATTTAATACAAAGAAACAAATTTGGAATCCACTCAGTTTTACCAGACTGACATCAAGAAGGGATATACATTCCTAAGACATTGCAAGAATGAGGTCTCACTGTGAGAGGGACCCATCCACAGACACTCTAGCTTGAGGAAGGGTATGTCCTGGAACTGAATCTAAAATAGAATCAGAACCATGGACTACTTTAGTTGAGATCATGTAGTCAACTTTTGTAATTATTCAAATGGGAAAATGAGTTTGCAACCTAATCCACTGGAATATTTTCTAGGAAACATGATTCTGAGTTCATTATAATCATCAGGAGGAAAATAGGACCCACTTTTCAGAAGTTTAATTAGGATGACTTTGCTGTGACACATTTTTTTTCCCTCCTAAGACTGACATTTGATATGTTTCAACCCCTAAATTAACCTGAAACATAAAGTTCAGTGCATTAAGATGAAGAGATTGCATTGGTAATAACCCCAAGTGAGCTCAAGTTAGGAAGGACTAGTATGAACAACTAGTAAATTGTAGTACAGGCTTTTACTTTTCTTTTTTCCTTAGGGTGAGTGTGCTTGTGAGAGAGAGAGAGACAGCGACAGTGAGAGAGTGAGAGAGAAAGTGAGAAATCACCCCCATTTTCTTTTTTCCTTAGGGTGAGTGTGCTTGTAAGAGAGAGAGAGAGAGACAGCAACAGTGAGAGAGTGAGAGAGAAAGTGAGAAATCATCCCCAGGGGGATGGCCACATCACAATCCCTTCTCCTCCATTCTCCTCTTGGGATCTTAGGCATGCACTCACATCAGTATGATTTTCAACCCACCAGGTCCAGGACTCAAACTGCAGTTGGCCATATAGAAGTCCAGTGAAGACTGGACGTAACTGCTACACCATCTACTGTCCCCAGTACAGGCTTTTTCAAGCCATGGATTATTGTTTGTACACTATGTTCATGGTTACAAAGCATGTTCACAAAACTACCTCCTTAAAGCCTCATCGTAATCCTTGAAGTATGCATTTTTAATCTTTATTTCACAAAATCCTTACAAAAGGTATTTTTCATTCTCTTTTCTCAGGCAGAATATTTTTACACTTTTCACACTCATCAATGAGAACTAGGATGATGTCATGACTTTTCTAGTCTAACTCCTTGATTTACAGAACCTGAGGCATGAGGAGGTTAGGCAGTGTGATAGATTCAGGACTAGAACTCAGGAATAGGACTTGCAGGAGTGCCCTTTGCCCAAGGTTCTACTCGTAGTTGCTACAATCCTGTGGGAGGATGTTGTAAGTCTCATGAGGGCCCTCTTGACATCTATAAATGGAATCACAGCATACATAGTGTTATGCAACTTTGTTTTATCACTTGGCTATCAACTTGGACATTTTTCCATGTCAATGATCTATGTTGTGATCTCATTATTTTTGAGGGGTAAACTAATTTGTACTCAGTAGGTATGCTCTAACGCAACTGCCACACCTGTTAGTTGTGGCCAGCATCAGTCCTGACTTGTCTGTGCCCACGCCATACTAGCTGTTACACATTTTGAAGAATTATTCGTGGTCCTTTCTTTGTATTCTAAAAATAGGTCAACTGAAACTTTCCTTTCTTGGAGTATAGCCAATCATATTTTGCAACCAACCTGGAACTCAACAGAGGCTAGTACAGTGCGATAAGCATGCAGATCTTCACAAACAAGGTAGACAGTCTGGGATTTTGAGAGCAAGATTATGTCTTCCTGTGGCTGCTGAGACCGTATTGGAAAGTTGATATGTGGCAATGAAGGTAACTTTGTTTTTTTATTTGCTAGAGAGTGTGTGCACTCTCCAGAGAGAGAGAGACAGAGAGAGAAGTAAACTCACAACCCCTTCTCTATTTTCCTCTCAGGATTCTGGGGATGCATACATTCACGCTTGGCATTTTCTCAAGCCACCAGGCTCAGGACTTGAACCATGCAGCCAACCATGTGGAATCTGACCACCTTAAACCCTATGCCACCAGTTGATACTGAAAGGTGATTTCGAGTCTTCAATTTTCAAGAATTCTGACTGTTGAGGCATCATCCATGGGTATTCTAATAATTTGTACCCTTTGGAATTAATTTAAGTAATTTAACTCTAAGCCTTAATGTTAGCCTCCAAGAATTAAAAAGTAGAATTTCTTCCTCCACAGAATCTTCGCTCACAGTTGCACGTGAGCAGACAACGGGGCAGAAGAATATCCTTTGACGGGGCATCAATATGGCTGAAAAGAGCAACTGTTTGTTTGATTGTAAAAACCAATGTTTGTCATTTGACAGTAGAATTGGATAATGAAATAATTTGGAATTTCTTCTTGATTTTCTCCCCATGTATAGTTTTGGCTGGATGTAAAATAGCTTTGTTTTTGTTTTTGTTTTTACTACTAGCTTTGAGATAGAAAATATTCACCACCCTTTTTAAATCCTAATGATATTCTATTATTACTCAGTTTCATGAGTTGCTGACTTAGGCCTTACACAAAAATGAGTAGCTCCATTAGTTTACATTAGATTTTTGTCTCATATGCCTATCAAGAGGACAGTCAGGTAGTGCCACTGTTAACTGTTTTGAGATTTGGAACACAACTGGGGAATTGAACTTCTTTTTTGTTGTTGTTGTTGGAGAGGTTTTTGCTATAGGGCACGTGTGCTCGCCAGAAAGACAGAGAGAGACAGAAAGCAAGAAGTCACCCCCAGGGGGGATGACCACACCGCAATCCTTTCTCCTCTATTCTCCTCTCAGGATCTTGGGCATGCATGCACATGCACCCAGCGTGAATTTAAGCCACTGGGTCCAGGACTTGAACCGTGGTCAACTACATGGGAGTTCAGCGACATAGCCATTATGCTAACTACTGGTCCTAGAAATTGAACTTGTTTGCAGTAAAATGAAATGATAATTGACATGAGTTTCTTTTTTCCTTTTTTTTTTTTTTCTATCTCTTTCATCATCAGCTGACCCCCAGAGTCATAATAGTCTGTAAAAAGGAGAAACCTGGAAGAAAAAAAGCCTGGTCAGACTGGTTGAGCACTGATAGTGGTGATAGGTGGTGGAGTTGTTTTTCCAGGAATCCAGATTTCCGGTATTTTTTTTTTTAAGTTATATTTACACATTTGCTCACAGTATAGTATCTGCTACTATTTAATAGTGCCCATTACCAAATCTAAACAGATTTACTTAATAATTCACTTATTGGGGCCAGCTGGTGACACGGTGTTTAAAGCAGCCAGATCCCACATGGCTCACTATGTGGTCCAAGTCCTGGACCCGGTGACTTGAAAAGCATGCCAGACGCATGTGCATGCATATCCAAAATCTCAAGAGGAGAATGGAGGGAAAAGGTTTGGGAGATGGCTATCCCCTTGGTTGGGGGTGGGGTGGGGTGGTGGTGGTTTTTCACTTTCCCTCTCTCTGTCTCTGCTTCTCTCTGGTGAGTGCATGTGCCCTAGAGCAAAACTAAAAAAAAAAAAAAAAAAAAAAAAATTAAGGTTTAAGAAAATCCACTTATCGCATGACATGCTCAATTTATGGGTCAGAAGAAATAAAAGAAGAGATAAAACATTGAGGGGGCCTAAAGCCTGGTTTGGGTCCTATCGAAGCAAACTTTCAATTAAAATACGACTTCTACCATCTTAAGACAGAAAACCTTGTGCTCGTGGTATGATGCAGAGCTGCATAACTTGCCCCACGTGCCCTGATTCTGCAGGGCAGCCGACAAACATGCTCTAAACTGAATTCATTGTAGGGCCAGCTCTGAACGCATTCTCATTCCAACTTCTGCGTATCAGACCAGGCCGCACGATTTGGTTTAGGTTTTCTTGTTTTAGATACTTTGTGAAAATAATAGATAACTGCTTTGATCTTCTTCCTCTCCTGCTCTTCTCCTAATACACACATGATCAAATGATGCAATCGTGTGATTCTCACATGACAGAAAAACCCTCTCTCCGGGTTCTGTTACCCCACCTTCGGTTTTCTCCTATGCCAACAAGCTTGTTGATAACATCTGCGTATGTGGTCTCAGTCTTTTTCTTGATCCAAAACAATGAATCTTGTTTAAATGAAAGTATACATCCCTAAGAGAGTCGATATATAAAGCTTGTCTCACGCATGCACACCAGAGCATCAGTAGTTGAACGCAGGTAATTAACGTGTAGCATAAGGTTTCTGAGGGCCTGTGTCAGGCCCAGTGCCCGCAAAGATATGCCCTTGAGTAACATTTGACTTTTGTCATCCTTTCATTGGGCAATGTTAAACAAGCTGATTCACTTTGGACTCAAGTTTGTCATCTGTGACTCTAAGGGGTTGGATTAGAGTGATAGAGATTTTCAGATTTTCTCTCTGGAAAGGGAAAGACTTCCAGCCAAAGCACTTCTTAATTTATTTATAAATTTGACCCTTTTGTGACTTTCCTTTTGAAGAAAGGGTTTTACAGCCAAAATAGTAAAAATTAGTAGTTCTGGGGAGAGCTGGTAGCGTGGCAATAAAAGTGGCTGGATCCTACATGGCGGACTGTACAGATCATGTCCTGGATCCAGCAGCTTGAGAAATGAGCCCAGGGTGAAATCCTGTGAGCAGAATGGAGGAAAAGGGATGCTGTTATGGCCAAACTCCTGGAAGGCGCTTTCTCATTTTCCTTCCATCTCACTCCAGTCAAATTAAAAGAAAAAAAAAAAAAATGAACGCTTCTGAAAAATAACACAACTAGCCAATTTCTTTTTCATTCATTCTTTCTTTCTTTTTAATTGCCAGAGAGCATGAGCACTCGTCAGAGAGACAGAGCAAAAGGGAGAGAGAAATTGCCTCCCAGTAGCACAGGGTCATGCCACAGTCTCTCTCCCCCATCTCTCTGTCCTCGCAGGATCTGGAACATGCGTGCACACTCAGTATGTATTTTAAGCCCCTGGAGCTGAGATTCTAACACGGGCCTACCATGTGAGATCTAGCTCCCTTAACCACCAGGCTATGGCGCTAGTCTGTTACTAGATGATTTTCAGGATTTCTTTTTAAATTTTATCTTCCAATGACTTTTGATAATCTGTAATTTGACTGTCTTCTAGAGGATAGCCTCCTGAGTGGACATTTGCACAGAAAACAAGGAAGGAAGTTCAGGGAACAAGACATTAGCCAGGGAGATTTCTGGGCATTGGCCAGACAGGAACTTATAGTGGTTGGTGTGTGGGTGTGCCAGTGGGAATGTACGGGAGGTTACCCCAAAGCTCAACTTGCCAGTTTTTCAATTTTCCCAAAGACTAGCCCTAGAGCATACCAGAGTCTGGGACATCTACTTTGTGAGAAGAAATTTCCCTCTGAGATTCAATAATTTTCACAAATAGTTTCACTTAAAAAAATGTCATCTCTCAAAGGAACAGCAGATGGCGTAATGGTTACATCACCGGACTCCCACATGACCAACTGCGGTTCAAGTCCCGGGCTTAGTGGTTTGAAACTCACGGAGAAGGAATTGTGGTATGGCCATCTCTCTGGGGCCTGGGGGGGGGGGGAACGGTGATTTCTCATTTTCTTTCTCTCCATCTCTTTGGCAAGTGCATACACCCTATAGCGAAAATCTCTCAAAAATAGTCATCTCTCTTTAGGAAGTGCATTTCCTGTCATTTTACAAAAAAAAGTTTGGGATTTCAATAACTCCACTGGCTACATCTTAGCAAGTATAATATGGTTTTAAAAATAAGCATAAAACAGGACCAGCAGTTAGCGAAATGGCTATGTTGCTGGGCTTCCATGGAGTCGACCGCGGCTTGAGTCCCAGACACGGTGACTGAAACTCGTGCCGGGCGCGTGTGCATGTGTGCCCAAGATCCCGAGAGGAGAATGGAGGAGAAGGGATTGCAATGTGGCCATCCCCCCCTGGGGGGTGATTTCTCATTTTCTGTCTCTCTTTCTCTCTCTTTCTGGTGAGCACACGTGCGCTATAGCAAAAATCTCTCCAAAAAATAATAATAATGATAAGCATAAATAAAAGTAGTTTTGTATAAAAAATAATTTGATGTGATATGAAGAAACATAAAGTATACTATGTTTTTGGCTATTTTCCCTCTTTAAAAATTTTTTGTTTGTTTTTAGTTTTTTGCTAAAGGGTACATGTATTCACTGGAGAAAGACAGAGAGAGAGGGAAAGTGAAAAATTGCCCCCATTCTCCTCTTCAAATTTTTGGGCACATACCCATATGCATTCAGGGTGATTTTTAAGCTGCCAGGTCCAGGACTTGACCCATGAGGTTGGCCATGTGAGATCCAGCTGCCTTAGCCTCCCTGCTACCTACTGGCCTGCCCTAGTCTTAATTTGGAATCTTTCCTGGAATTGTTCCAACACAACTCTCTTAACAATGTCAAAAAGAAAATTTAGGACATTTTGTTAACAATCCTTTGAAATATTAGGAAGTACAAAAATCACTAACTCATCTGAACTGACCAAAACAGACAGGGCCTGTTATTTGGCATTCTTTTTATGATGCTTAAATAAAACCTTTACTTTCAAACCAGCCTGTGGCATGGTGTGGGAGCTGGATCCCTCATGGCTGAAGGCACAATTCTAGTCCCAGACCCACCAGGCATGTGAGCATGCAGGTTCCGAATCCCCAAGGGATGGAGAAATGGAGCAGGAATTGCGGCATGATCATTCCCCAAGGAAGGAACTTTCTCTCAAGTGCACAACATACCGCCTGACAAAATTTATTTAAAAAACAAAAACAAAAACAACTTCTCTTCTCTTCTTCTTCTCTTCTCTTCTTCTTCTCCTTCCTCCTTCTTTCCTTTCTTCTTTCTTCTTCCTCTTTCTTTCCAGGGAGCATGTGTACTTGTCAAAGAGACAGAAAGCACCTCTTCCACCATAGCATGTGGTCACGCCACAACCCTGTTCCCTCCTTTTCTCCACCTGTCAGGATTCTGGGCATACATGCATATGTGTCTGGCATGTTTCTAAGCCTCTGGGCTGGGATTTGAACAGCAGTTGGGGGCTGGGATTTGAACAGCAGTTGGCCATGTGGGATCCTGCTCCCTATGCATGGTATTTAACTGCAGTGCTAATATGCGAGGACCAATTGCCCCAAGAATCCTTTTCACTGAGGGCCATAAGGTTTGGAGTGGGAGAAGAAAGTTCTTCTACCTCACCCCCATTAAATTCTCAACACTTAAGATCAAAATGAAGGCCAATGGAGAAACTGACAAGGGCCTCTGAGCAACTGTCAAAAAGCAGAAAGATAAGATTGAGAGTTGGACCTGGGAATCCTAGCATCTTAGCGATGATCCTCGCTGTGACAGCATATATGTTGGGGGACTGAGACACAAAATCTACCTCATAGTGCACAGAGGGAGAGCAGTCAAGAAGGGAGTTTCTCTGACGTTGGAGGGAAGTCGGCAGAGGAAGGGAAAGGTAAGTAAACAGCAGTGACGTCTTGAGGACAAAGGTGTAGGTCAAATGAATTGGCTGTGGATATGCCTCAGTGATCTTGGAAACTGCTCAGCTTTGTGAGACGAGCTTCCAGCCAAGAACAAACCTGGATTTCGGGTGTGTGGTGGGTGTCAAAGTTGTTAAGTGCCACTGATGCTGGGAGAGCTTTTCTTTTCTTTCTCTTTTCCTTTCTCTTTCATTTCTTTTTTCCT